AAATGGAGAAAAACTGGAAGCATGCCCATTGAAATCAGGAACCAGACAAGGCTGTCCACTATCCCCACTTCTCTTTAACATAGTACTTGAAACTCTTGCAAGAGCAATAAGACAAGAGAAGGAAATTAAAGGAGTAATAATTGGAAGAGAAGAGATCAAATTATCATTTTTTGCAGATATGATATCTAAGGGATGCCAAAAATTCCACCCCCAAACCCCTAGAAATTATTAACATGTTTAGTAACATGGCAGGTTACAAAATTAATCTACAAAAGTATATAGCTTTTCTATATACCAATAACAAGCAATCAGAGAAAGAGCACATGGAAACACTCCCCTTCACAATAGCTGGAAAAAAAAAAATCTCAGAATAAATGTGACCAATGACATTAAAGAGCTCTACAATGAAAACTTTAAATCTTTAAAGAAAGAAATTGAGGAAGACATCAGAAGATGAAAGGACCTCCCATGCTCATGGATTGGAAGAATCAATATTGTGAAAATGACCATTGTACTAAAAGTCATATACAGATTCAACGCAATGCCAATAAAAATCCCATGACATTTTTCACAGAATTGGAAAAAACTATCCTAAGATTCGTATGGAAGCAGAAAAGACCTCAGATAGCCAAAACAACTCTGAGAGCTAAGAGCAATGCCGGGGGGATTACTATACCAGATTTCACACTGTATTACAGAGCTATAGTCATAAAAACAACATGGTACTGGTACAACAATAGACCCATAGATCAATGGAACAAAATTTAAACCCAAATATGAGTAAATGCAATTTCAGCCATCTGATATTTGACAAAGTGGCCAAGAATATTCACTGGAGGAACGACAGCGGGTTCAGCAAATGGTGCTTGATGGCAAAACTGGATCTGCACTTGTAGAAGAATGAAACTAAACCCTTATCTTTAACTCTGCACAAAAGTCAATTCCAAATGGCTCAAAGACTTCAATGTAAAGCCTATAACTCTGAAACTATTAGAAGAAAACATTGCAAAAAAACCTAAAAATATAGGCATAGGAAAGGATTTTCTAAACTGGACATCAATTGCTCGGGAAACAAGGTCAAGAATTAACAAATGGGACCTCATTAAACTAAAAATCTCCTGTACATCAAAGGAGACAACCAAGGAAGCGAAAAGAAAACCCACAGAATGGGAGAAAATCTTCCAGTGACACATCTGACAGAGGTTTAATAACCAGAATTTATAACTCACTCAAAAAACAGAGAACCAAGATAAGAAGCAGCCCAATTAAAAGATGGATTTAGGAGTTGAACAGAGAGTTTTCAAAAGAAGAAGTAAAGATGTCTATGAAACATCTTAAAAGATGTTCAACAGCACTAATAATTAGGGAAATGCAAATTAAAACCACTTTCAGATTTCAACTTAGCTCAGTCAGACTGGCTAAGATCAAGAAAACAAATGATACCGAGTGTTGGAGAGGGTGTGGGGAAAGGGGAACACTCGTCCGTTGCTGCTGGGCTGCAAACTGGTTCAACCCCTATGGAAAGCAGTGTGGAGAATTCTTAAAAAACTACAAATGAACCTACCATTTGACCCAGTTATACCACTCCTTGGCATATACCCAAAGAACTCATCCTTTTGCAGAGACACATGTACATCCATGTTTGATGTTGCTCTTTTCACAATAGCTAAGAGATGGAAACAACTTGTGTCCCTCAATTGATGAGTGGATAATGAAAATGTGGTTCATTTATACGATGGAGTAAAGAAATGGAGTACATACTTTCTATGCTCAGCTGTAAAGAAAGATGAAATTATGAAATTTGCTTTCTATATTCAGCAGTAAAGAAAGATGAAATTTGTAGGTAAATGGATGGAACTAGAAACTGTTATACTAAGTGAAATAACACAGACTCAGAAAAAAAAAAAGACATATGTTCTCCCTCATATGTGCATCCTAGAACCAGACTCTGATAAATAAGTATGCAACCAGACATAACTACAGGAATCATAATAATGGAAAGGAAACAGGGTGGTAAAAGAATAGAAATAACCTGAAAGAGAAGGACAGTAGGAAACAGGCCTTAATAAGGGAGATATGGATAAAAATTGGGTTAGTTTAAGGGAGGTGGGAGGGAAGGGTCTATAAGGCACCTAGGGGATAAAGGGAGAGAAGGAGCTCAAGAGAGGTAGGGCCATAGGAGAAGGGTATTAGTAATGGAGAAAGGGGGGAAATGGGGGCACCTTAAGTGGGAAAACTATGAAGGAAGGGTGAGAAAATGTGAGAGATAAACAATGCCTAGATAGTTTTAAAAACTAGAGAGAACCATATTACTCCTGCAGCCTACTGACAAATTATACATAGCAGATCAAGAGATAAATATTGCTAGTTTTAAAAACCAGAGAGAACTATATTACTCCTGCAACCTTCTGAGAAATTATACATAGATCAAGAAATACATGTCTAGGTAAGGTTTATCTGAGAACTACTGATGTTTGTCCAAGATATATCTACATGACACACAGTAATTAAAAACACCAGACTGGTGGAACTAACCTTCTTGGGTATTTAACAGACATACTTTGAGGTGTATAATAATTTGGTCAGAGGGACATAAAGGACAGTTTTTGCTCCTTGCCCTCCTAGGT